AACGGCACTAGTCGTATGTCATTGAATCGGGGCGGAGTTTAACACACCTAGACTCTTTGAAAGACGTCGTGGATCGCAGTAAAACTCGCAGCTTGAAGAATTTCTCTCACGGGAACTGTCACGCTCAACTATTTTGATTGGCACGATGTAGTGTGACAACGAGGAAACCCTAATTAAGACTGATGTACCACTTTCAGCAGTCGCCATTTGATATAATTATTGTTAACCCTTGAGCCTGAAGTCCCCGACCCGACGCGTTCGTTGAGACAAGAGGTTTAACATGATGACAGACAGCATACAAATTGGAGCTGAGAAATCTACTTCACAAGTAAAGTGGTGCGTGTCAAATTGCTTTTCTATGATCCCGCTGATGTGGAAGCGAAGCAAAAACAAACAAACAACAACAACAACAACAACAACAATCCAAAAAACAATAAATAAATAATAAATAGCCTGACTTAAATAAAATAAAATTATATTATATAAAATTTAATTTCTTTTGGTCACACCATGCCACATCGTGCCTGGAATGTATATAAAAAGAACCAAACAGTATTTGCAGTTATTGCCGTTTTTTATTTGTATGAGTCTTTTTATTTTATTTTATAAAATTGCAATAAAAAAAACCACAAGTACATGTATGAGAACTTGAGATGTCATTTTTAAGTGGTTTTGTAATAAGACGCTTCAACTTATCTGTTACATGTATATTATCCCTTTTTCCAATTCTGCCTCACTGCTATTGAAAAGGGAGGAAAGTCTGTTTAAAAAAAGTTCATTTATGGTCATTTTTCTTGTAGACAAATCTCCCCCTCCAGCAAAAAGAAAATGTGGGAGCAGAACTGAAAGATGTCACCCTTAAATTCTCTAGGGTACGGTTAAACTATATTTTTATGTTGTTAATCCGATATTCGATATTAAAACTTGATCATTTCAAGTTGGACCAACTGTAATGAAAAGGGTTTGGCATCCTGATGAGAAAAAATAACAAAAATCTAGATTATGCATGTAATATGAAACTTGAAAGAAGTATCTGGCAAGCACTCATTGTGTGCGAAAAGGTTTCTGACTGTGTCAATAGAGGGCGCTGTTTCTTTCTTTTTTTCTCATACAGAATTTCTGGCGTTTTTAGTATCCAAGATTTTCTGTGGATCGGGGAACAAAGTTTTGGGGATATGGTACATCATAGCCTATACATGTCGGGGAAGTTTTATTAAATTCGGCGGACTAGATCGCCTATCTCGAAAACTAAAGCGTTTTCGGCCTCTCGGCCCACGGACTCTTGTATTACAAAAACGCGGCATCGAAATTGACCAATCACAATCTTAGCCCTGATTAATTACCCATAAGGGACCCATAAGGGTTATCCCCTGTGGGGGGCTTTCCCATATGGGTGTCATATGGGAAAAACCTAGGCAAGCCCATATGGGCCAAAAAATGGTTAACCCATATGGATGTCGTGGGAAAAACCTGGGCAAGCCCATAACACACAACCTCGTCCCCAGGATGTCGAGAAGTACGCGAAATAGTCTGGTGCCTGTGTGTGCGCAACATTAGCGTTGTTTTTGAATGCAGTGTCTGGGGTAAAAACAGCATAAATTCGTCGCGCCGTGAGTTATGAAAACACGAATTTTTTTAAAGCAAAATGTTACAATCTGGCCCGCCAATATGCAGTATCACATTTCATATTAATATGAGCAAACTTGAAAGGAAAGTAGTATTTTTGAGAAGGCGTGGACGTTATAATTACAATAATCGTGAAAACACGTAATGCACGTTGGAATACACAACACCAACTACACGATATATATCCATTACTAGCAAATTGCGGTATCAAATCAGGAAACAGGAAGAAAGTTTGCTATCCAGGTCCGAAATTGCCTACGCCGGCCAAGGGCGGATCCGGGGGGGGGGGGGGGGCCAAAGGGGGCCATGCCCTCCCCCAAATGAAACCAATTTTTTTTTTTTATGTAACATCGCAATAAAGGCAGCTAATGAGTACACCACCATCTTTTCCTCAAAAAAACATTGGTTAAAGTGGTCAGAAATTGCCTCAGATCGCACCACAGAGCATCTAGAATCAAAATTTTTTTTGACCCACTTTTTTTTGGGGGGGGGGACCAAATTTTTTTTTTGGGGGGGCGCCCCCTAAAATTGTGTTCTGGATCCGCCTTTGACGCCGGCCAAATCACGATTTGCATGCCCTCAAAATCTTCAGTATGTGAGCATGCTGTGGGCCATGAACTTGAGGGTTTGTAACAAAATATGGGTGGAAGCCGTACACAGGACTGTGAGCTTGTAGTTCAGTTCAATTAGGATGAAATTGGGGCCCTTAAAGCGCTCTATTTTGCAATGGAGTGTAGGCATCGTTTTTCAAAATGGTGATGGGCTTCAGGACTATTTTCAGGGGTGATCATCTTCGGATGGAAATTTCTCCTAAAAGTCATCAGTTGACCCCCCCCCCCGCAAAAAAATTGAACAGAAAATGAAAGATGATGAATAAGCTCGATTTGATGTGTGTTTCGAACACCTTGGAGAGTTGTGAATATTTTTCCCGAATTTCTGAAGTGGGAGCATTTACCATTGGGGTCTATGGAAGTTTATTTACTGGTCTGCAACCTTTAATTTCAAAATGGCGCCTTCCATCGATTGTTGTCAAATGTGTTCGCCTGCGCTTTACATTCCACGACAGTGTTTTTTTTCGGGGGGGGGGGGGGGGGCAGCGTTTCAAAAGGGGTCACCAATGGCGGTTCCCCAACAAATGCGCCCAAAATCTGAATGGGACCGATGGACCGTCGTCCGATCACAGCAATTTCGAGCGAACAAGGGGGGGGGGGGGGTAATTTGGGGTTGGAACGAGCAAAAACTCAATTAACTCCCGTTGGGGGCGCCCTACAGCAAGGCAGCCGCAAACAGAGGGCTTGTTTTCAGGCCAGAAATCGCAGTCAGAGATTTTTTTCTCGCAATTATTTGATGAAATATGAGTCATCCATCCTTCCTCGTGCTGTACAAGTGGATTGGGGGAATTTTTCAAAACCTCGCTTCTTTATAAGTTGCAGACCAGTAAATCGGTCCGAAATTGTCTACGCCGGCCAAATCACGATTTGCATGCCCTCAAAATCTTCAGTATGTGAGCATGCTGTGGGCCATGAACTTGAGGGTTTGTAACAAAATATGGGTGGAAGCCGTGCACTGGACTGTGAGCTTGTAGTTCAGTTCAATTAGGATGAAATTGGGGCCCTTAAAGCGCTCTATTTTGCAATGGAGTGTAGGCATCGTTTTTCAAAATGGTGATGGGCTTCAGGACTATTTTCAGGGGTGATCATCTTCTGATGGAAATTTCTCCTAAAAGTCATCAGTTGAACCCCCCCCCCCCCCCGCAAAAAAATTGAACAGAAAATGAAAGATGATGAAATAAGCTTTAATTTGATGTGTGTTTCGAACACCTTTGAGAGTTGTGAGTATTTTTCCCGAATTTCTGAAGTGGGAGCATTTACCATTGGGGTCTATGGACGTTTATTTACTGGTCTGCAACCATATAGCCGTAGCCTTGATGCCAGCGACGTTCGATTGTTCGCAGATTAATAACTCCAACGCGAGTAGGACGTACGACGTATCATGTATTGTTTTTGTTGGCAATTAAAATGAATGAATGAAGTAAAGAAAGGGGTTGATTTATTTTAAAATTAACGGATAATAATGAAAAAGAAAACTAGGGATCCAATTTTATATGCATACATGTATATGTATATACAGTTAATAAATAAAATGCATAAAATATTTTTCTTTTCTAAAGAAAGTATGTATGTGTATATAAAATTAATAAATTTAGATGCATGAAATAAGTTTTTTTCTAAAGAAAGAAGTAATTCTCCCATTCTTAACTGCTTTATGCACATATCGTCACTGTTTTCACAGAGGGGCGAATATCATGAAAATCGTTTTTCGAAATTTGTTGGTTTTTTTGTGTGTGAAAATGAATAAATATATCAATACCTACAACCTGATGAGGCTATACTTTCAAACAATTATTTAAAATCTTAATTGACCTAACTAGTGCAGGGCCAGTCGTAAATGTGCCTGTTCGGAAGGGGCAGTTGAGAACTGCAGCTTGTGCAAACAACGCACATTATTCAATGGTGTGAAACGCACACTCGCAAATTAAACGCACACAATGTCGTCATCCCCTGGCACTGATATTTACCCCTACTGGACAATATGGTATCGCCCTACAGTAAGAGTTGCTCAGTCGACCGCCTACATACAGTGCAGTGATGGTTGCTCAGTTGACTACAAAATGCATGTGCCCGTGCATACCACTCGATCACGTATATGCACGTACGGAGACATGGTGTGCAGTGCTATTCACTCATACTGCACAATGGTATCGCCCTACAATGTGCCCGTTCTTTTCTCATTGTTGCGAAGTCTAGTATTGAGCACGCGCCTTTAGCTCAAAATGACGTAAACAATTGAAAAAGACGGCAGCGCATGGTGGTCTGGGCTATAATACTGGCACATTTGCCTCAGAAAATAATATTTTTTTGCAGCTTTTTCGAGAACCGCTCGTCCAAACAACTTCAAACTTGACACTGCACATTCTGTGGTCCCGAGCAACACATCCGCCGATGTTCAACTGCATACGATACCCGGTTCTGGAGATAATCGATGTACAGACAGACACACACACAGATTCCTGGAATTATAACAACGACAATTTAGGTCTCAAGTCTGTTGTCTTTCTTTGTCTTCCATTACTGAGCTGTTTATCGTCGACGACGTTGAAGGCCACAAAGAGGTTTACCAGCACAAGCCAATGATAGTAACGCACTGGCATACATTATAATGACCAGTGCGCTGCTGGTGAAGGTAATTTTGACACGCGGACGAGCACAATCGTTTAACAGTGCATGATAATGTACAACATCCCGGCCATGCTTGTCGCTAGTTGTAGGACTTCAAGAGTGTAACTTTTATAACTGATGAGCTGGACAATAAGGTTACGTGCGAACTATGCTTTATTTGATCTTTAAAGTGACCTTACATAAAATAATACAACACAAAACACAAAATAATACAACACAAAATAATACAAAATGGAGTGCCTTTCCCACAAAGCGGTGGAGTGTTTTTAGATTATAAGTTCTTAATTACCCATTCGTCATAATTATCACTCTCTATGGTTATCTATGTTACTTTCTGAACTTTAAATGATCATTCTGTATAACGATTAACTCGCCCGAGTGCTCAATTTGTGATTTACACTTAATTCATTGCTCAGCTTTTCCTTGTTGTACATACATTGTGTACTTTATACCATGGAGGAATAATGTGCCTGTAGCTAGTGTGTATTGTTTTCTATAGAGCATTATGACCTTCGTGTTTGAGGTTATACCATACATTATGCAGCCGTGTGGTTGCGACTCAAAGGGCGATTTCTAAAGGTCACGTAACACTTTATTTCGAATGAAACTACATGTACACAAACATGTTCACCCAGGTGGGCGAAATTTTTGAAAATTAATATTCCCGTTTGGCAGACCGCATCTTCATGCATCTGTCAGGGTTTATTTCCCTTAAAATGATCCAAGTATGTGCTAAAATCGTTGTGATATTATGTTCATTACTTTTCGTTGAAATTGGAAAAATAGGCCTGGCTACGTGCATTTTTGAAAGTTGTTACATATGGCGTTTGCAACATCTGTCAATCTTTTCAAGCCTCACGAATATTAATAAGGTTCCTATCCATTATGGTGTGCAGTAAAAACTTGGAGAAAAGCCTCCTTCACGATTTATTAATTGATAAATCACAATTGCCAAGTCACATCGAGTGACGCTAATGAATATGCATTCGTCATTGTGTTGCCGGGCCGCAATCGGTCAACCATATAGCGCCTACGGTGCTTTGCTGAACCATGCAGATGGATTGGGGGCAAAAAATTCTTGTCGAAATTGACCTTGGAGATAGTTCAAGGTGTAACACTAGCATTTGCAACAACCGTGACAGATTAAGCTAAAATTCAGAATATACTTAGATGATATATAAGTGTCCAACTACTCGTGAAATAACAACTTGGAGAAATTCCTAGAAATCGACATAAATACACAGATTTTGGGATGTTTTCGAACAATTTCTTCCCGACTTTAAGGCCAGCTTTACCAGTAACCAGTATTGACGTTTTGGCATTGATAACAACGATTTTTTTACTGACATGAAGTTAAGAATTTCTTCTTCCGTTATACTTTAACATTTCAATCATACTGAGTGAATTTTCTAAGAAACACAACTTTCAAAAAGGCCATTTTTTGGGGGGGGGGGGAGTGGGCACATGAATTTCATTGCTCAGTTATAGCATCCGAGTACATAATCGGATTAGCTTTGGTTATCAACGGCAGACGCTTTGCTTTCACAACCATAGAGCTGACATGTTTATTCCAAGACTCATTGGTCATTTGACAATGAAGGTTCTCAGTACAGCAAAAGTTGCTAGATCATTATTCTAAGGTAATATTACTTATTCACAGTCATTTGAGAATCAAGGAAAACAAGATGCATACTATTCCTGTGTGTACTATACCCGTGCGACAGTTCCACGATTAATTTGTGAAGCGATTTGCATAGTAGGCTGTCGCACGTACAGTTCATAGATATGGAATAATTTATTCTATATCTATGGTACCAGTAGTCTACTATGCCTGCGTGTGAACACTCGCGCACACACATGGTAAACAGCAAAAATAGCATCTGGGATGTGATGGTGAATGAACCAGTGAGAATTTGGCTCTCAATCAGTAATATGTATCAGGTACAGTAATATCCCAAAACGTGCAAAGATGGTATCCCCAAACCCCAATAGTCATTTCCTTCGCCTCTGCCAAATTTGTATTGAGGAAGTTGAGTTTGAGAAAGAGCTCCAGCGATGAGCGGGTTCTTCCAGCAATGGGGATACACAGCTTCTGTTACAGATACATTTTTGTCCATTTGTTCTACCAGCAGTACATCACAAGCCAAAATTGTCCTGATAAAGATGCATCACACTGAAAGCTTGGCAATCGCTATCCGGTGAGCACTGTTTTAATTTTGTTTTTTTTACATTCTTTTATCATTTTATGTATATATAGAGAGAGCAACAGAGAGTACGAGAGTATTGCCCACCTTGCAATATTCTGCAATAAGAGTTTAGGTGATCCATAAAGTGTACCATTTTCTGTGACGAGTACAACTCAAAATCAATATTTATTAAATTTCAAAGCTCCCTTCACAATAACATTTATACAAATTTTAACAATTTGTAACCATCAAACAAATTGTGCGGAAATTTAAGATTTTTTGTTGTTGAAAACTCTGCTGAGTAGTAACATGGTACCTTTCAAAACAAATTCGGCAAAACATTTCTACTTCACGACTGTTCACAATCAGCACAAAAGTGGGTGCTAATGTGAATTTGTTACATCACAAATAATTCGTCGTAGAGCTGACATACCGACAAATAAGCGAAAACCCTGTTTCGAGTAATTTGCGTTTGAAGTTGGACATTTTTCTGGGCGTCGTATTTTATCCTTAACGTTTTGATAATTACTGTTTTTGTGTACACTCGAAATAAAATAGGAAACGTAGTATCCATCAGGTAACTTATTTAATCAGAGAAGTTGTGTGATTTGTTTTTATTTGATTGTAAACGTATTCGTCCGTTTGTCAAATTACAAAATCTCTAATAGCCAGTTGTTTTTCACAGTTTGTATGCTATTCGTCAGTTTGTCGGATTGCGCACACATGTGCGCCGTGCCGCAATCCGACAAACAACATTCGTTGGTACTTTGAACGTACACCTTGCATTAGCTGGTTACCAGCAAAATTCCGTATTCGTCACTATGTCAAAATGTGACTGATTCGCCACAGGCGGGGCTCCGAATCTCCAAATACAGACAAGAATTCAGAATTTTGGCACAAATACTTTAATAAAGGAGCAACCTTTAAACACCTCAAAAATAACAAAATCTCAAAATTCGCCAAAATGGTTGATTTGCCGGTACCGTATGTTAGCTCTGTGACAAAATGTAGAGCAAGTGGTTTACAGTTGAACAAACTGGAACTCCAGCAAACTCAAGGAAGTCAAAGCATTTAGGATAATGTGGGAAAGTACCTCAACATCAAGGAGTAATCTTGTGAATTAGAAAAAGAATTAAGTTTAAAATAGAATGCTTAATTTCAAATTGTTATTAATGTTACCCTAACTTAAACCAAAACACCTACTCATCATAACAAAGAGATGACATCGCAAATCACCAGTTTATTGGTGATTTGCACTGTCATTTCTTTGTAACAGCGGTAAATCCTTGTTCACTGTAACAACTAAGTGCTGGTAGGTCTGTTGTACCATCTGATGTCACTCTCTTGGCTGGATATCATGAAAAAGCTCTGTCATTTTGTCGATAGTTGATGACAACAAGCCATACACCTGCCATTAAAATCACAATGCAATAAGAAATTTGGTAAAATGTTAACAAAAAGCAAAATTAATAAAGTATACTAAAGTATATGGCAGGTATTTTGAAATGTATTTTGGACGAGAGAAGAAACTCTTGACAACCATAACATAAATCAAGTCCTTTAACATTCATCTGATCTTATCAACCTCAGCATATAAGCTTCTTTGATAACCAATTCAAGAAGAGTGTAAAAAAATGTCACTTTATTAACAGCAAAGACAAAGTGTTGCTAAAACCTTTGAAATTCAAGGAAAATTCACTGAAATTCAAATTATTGAAAAGTTCTCAAACTGGAAATTTGTTACACATTTGAAAACAAAATCTTATTTTTTAAAAATAATTCATTTATTGTGACCTTTGCCAAAGTGAAACAAACACACCTTTGATGTCCCTTTGTATTTGGGTTACCTTTTTTTCGGGACATCTTGTACATTAATGCTGACATGAGCTTTCCAACCCGACCAGTGTTGTTGGCTATCACCCTTTGGTTTTGTCTTCATTCTAGTTTTTCCCCACTTTTTTTCCATAGGATAACATGTGTTTTCGTTCTACACAGCACTTTGGGACTTTTTTCACATCCGACTGACTTCAAACCTGGCACACATTTAGACCACCATTTGACGATTCAGGCCAAATCAAAATGATGTCATCGAAAACGTGAATTTTTTTATTCACGTACAAGGGTGTGTCTGATCGTTATGATATAATTATTATCATATTGATATAAGCATTCAAAATCTGAAGTGACCCCATCATGACGTCATCATCTGATTCTTTATTATTTCAACATTTTTTAATATATTCTTCCAATTAATTACCAAAATTACATAAAAAAAAAAGATCCGATCGACTTTAAACCTGGCAAACATTTAGACCATCATCTGAAGATTCAGGATGAATCATGACATCATAATAATGTCATCACGTTTCACGTGACGTCATCTAAAATGTGCATATTTTAAGGCCCTACCAGTATATCTACAGAACCGGAAGTCCGATCGGGTTCAAACTCGGTATGCAGGTATTGCGAGATGTGTTATAGACAAAAATTGCAGTGACGTCATGATGACGTCATCATGTGATTTTACATGAATTATTCAATTTTTGGACCTTTAAGTCAAATCTCATCAATGGAACTTGCTCAATTCAAAGTTCTTTTTCTAATAGGTTTGTTAGGTCATAGATAGATAAAGAAAATTTTGAAAAATGTGATGTCATCATGATGTCATCAAAAACGCGATTTTTTGAAACACATATAGGTATGTCTGATCGTTATGGACTTGGTGGGTTGGTAGTTGATTTTTTATGAATTTTAATTTTTTTTAACATTTCCTTTATTTCTTCTAATGCACATCAGTGTAAATGTAAGCCTAGATTCGATTTGGATGAAACTTCTACGTGGCAGTGGTTACCAAACATTCCAAACATTTCTAGTTTCTTTTTCCAGTTTTTCCATAGGTTTTGTACACGTTTTTATTCTACAGGCCACTTTGGGAACTTTTAAAAATACGATCACCTTTAAACTGCGCACAGTCATTAACCATCATCTGAAGATGTATGCCGAACAGTTTTGTCATCGTGATGTCATTAGGGGTCACGTGACATCAATTGGAATGTTCATTTTTTACAGTCTATAACTACAGAACTAATGGGCCGATTGATTGATCTCAAATCCGGTATAGACAGGGAAGTGTTATAGATGAAAATATATGTAAAATATAAGGTCCTGTGACCCTAACTTCTGGTATCACTGGAATTGCAATTTGAAGCTCTAGTTGCCATATCTAATGCATTATAAATATGATGGGGCGATACCTGGTAATAGTATGAAGCAACATTCAAAGATTATTATAATGCATTATTATTACTGTACAGTTTATTATTCTAATATTAAGACTTCGTGAATATTTAATGAGGCAATTTTTGGACACTAGATTTCAACAATCAATGCAATAAGTTATGATTCTAGTTCTTTGCACACTCATATTGGACTGAAAATGCACTTCCTGGAATGTCAAGGTCATGTGACCCTTACTTCCAGTTGTACCGGAAGTGCAATTATTAAGGGAATAAATGTGTGCTCCGGAGGTTTTTATCACTCTGTTTAATACCACTTAGAGTCTGGGTGCTGATAATTACCCGAGCCGGAGGCGAGGGTAATTATCAGCACCCAGACTCTAAGTGGTATTAAACAGAGTGATAAATACCGACGGAGTACATATTTATTCCCATTCATAAATACCTTTTCGGTAAAAAAAATCATATAATTCGTGCAAAACATCCCGATTTTGTTCAACAAATTCACTTTATGCTTTTTGAATCATCCCTCCTGCAAAATAATGGAGTGTTCAGCTGGCGAGTAAGATGAAAACAACCCTTTTATGGAGATTGACGCGCGCGTATCATGTTCTATGCGATGTCGCGCAGAACGCACCTGGCGCGTTGCGTTTTGAATTTAGAACTATAAAATTCTAACTCCCTGGTAGTGTTGCGCATGCCTACGTGAGGATTGTGAACGTTCAACCAATTAAACGATAAGAGGCACTGGATTTTTAGGAGTCCACATTTTATTGTGACACTGGAAAAAGTTTAAGACCAGCTAGCCATGTCTTTATCATCCGTTTAATACCGGCCACGTGACGGGCTCTCGACCAATAGGAATGGCTAAACTGTCTGAGGTATTTATGAATAAAGATTATAATTTCAATTGTAATACATGTCATTAAGAAATTTTGGAAAAATCATTACATCATTTTGTACTGTCAATCAAAAACATTCTCTAGTTTTCACTTTGTCTTTAGTAAACATTTTAGTAATTTGTGCCATAACTTCATCCCTTTTGACAATGGTTGAATTTTACAGATCATTTTAAGAATTATTCTGCTAATTCAAGGGAAATTTTTACCTGGATATACATTTTGTTTCTGTACTTAGCATCAAGATGTGGATCCCCTGATTCTGATGGTGGTGTTAGACTTCGTACAGGTGCATGTATTTGTTTCTTCTCTGCTCCTCTTTTTTGGTTCACGGGTGGCAGGTGGACTTGTTGCAGAACGACTCTTGGTTTTGCCACCTTTGCTTTTTGGCCTGTCTCTTTCTTTTTCCTAATGGGAATATACAGCAAAATCATTATCAATGCATTGAAAGTTCAAAGCACACAAAAGAAGAATTTCAGTAAACAGCGGTTATTCACAAAAGATTGTGATCAATATAGTTAGTCCACCCCTAAACAGCTTTAGAAACATTTCTACAGTCAGGGGTTATCCTTCGTGGATTCAAAGAGTTATTCAGCAATCATGCCAAGCTTGGAATCATATTAATCCTCCGTCTGCTCCAAATCAGTGTCAGCATCAGGATGACTCAGAATATTTTCACAGCTCCTCCTCCAAATTGCAAACTAGCTTTCGAGCTGGAAATGAGCAACTTGCATTTTGTTCATGGAACTGGATTGAACATGTACATATACATCAAATTACCTCTACAACAGAGTGTGTGGCTTGGGAATTTTGATAACATTGGGCTCAAGCAAATATCATCCCTCGACCAGCCCAGCTTGAGTGTATCCAGAGTAACAGGAGGATTAAAGTAGACGTGTTGATTGTCTACGGACAATGCAACTGGCTTTTCTGCCTTTCCAGAAGTTTGAGTTTATACTTTGTTTGTCCATGCAGAATCATGTTTAAAAATGTTCAGTGTCATGCATAACTAGAAATGTGTTTGTGGACAAACACTGAGCTGTTTCGACCACTTTAGCAATAACTGCCGTAAAGGAGTTTCAGCCAAGTCGAATGAACATGTACATGAGCATTTATACATGGTGGTCTAAGTATCGATCCGATGTAAAAAAAACCAACATTTTTCATGATATCATGGTGACATTACACATTTTTGAAATCTTCTGTATCTATCTACGACCTAACAAGCCTTTTGCAAACAGAATTTCGAATTCAACACCTTCCATTGATGAGATATGAGGAAAAGGTCCAAAACTTTAATAATTCAAATAAAATAACATGATGACATCATCATGAAGTCATCGTGACGTCACCGAGTTTGAACCCGATCGGACCTCTGGTTCTGTAGATATAGGGACTTAAACTATGCAATTTTAGGATGACGTCACTTGACATGTGATGACGTCATGATGACGTTATTATTCGGCCTGAATCTTTAGATGGTGGGGTCTAAGTGTGTGCCAGGTTTGAAGTCGATCGAGCTATTTTATGTAATTTTTGCTAATTAGAAGAAAATGTTAAAATTTTTAAAATGAATAAAAAATCAGATGATGACGTCATGATGACGTCACTTCAGATTTTGAATGCTTGTATCAATGCCTACCTACCCACCAAGTTTCATAACCATCGGACATACCCTTATATGTGAATACAAATTCAGGTTTTTGATGACGTCATGACGATGTCACACATTTTACGAAATTTGGTGCATCTATCTATGACCTAACCAACCTTTTACAAAAAGAATTTCGAATTTACCACATTCCGTTGATGAGATATGAGTAAAAGGTCAAAAAATGACTAATTTATATAAAATCACACGATGTCGTCATTGTGACGTCACTGCTTTTTTGTCTATAACATGTCCCGGAATACCTGCATACCAAGTTTGAAGCTGATTGGACTTCTGGTTCTGTAGATATAGGGCCTTAAAATATGCACTTTTCGGATGACATACGTGACACGTGATGACGTCACGATGGCGCCATGATTCGGCCCTTAATATTCAGATGGTGGTCTAAGTGTGTGCCAGGTTTAAAGTTGATCGGATGTAAAAAAAAAAGGCCCAAAGTCCTGTGTAGAACGAAAACACGTGTTATCCTATGGGAAAAAAAGTGGAAAAAAAAAAAAAAAAAAAAAAAAAAAAGACAGACAGAGAAAAAATAACAAAAACAAGAGCTGTTTCGGTGTGTGCACCGAAACAGCTAAATATCTGTGACTTTAATTATCAGAAATACTTTTTCATAAAAAAAAATGAACACAAATGTTACATGTGTTTGGAAGATTGTAAATTTTAAGCTAAAATGTGTCAATCGAAAAATCGTTAAAAAGATGGACTTTTTTTAAAAATTAAACCTCATCCTACATTTTATTCTCTATCCATTGACTGATTGATCTGTCATGGTTGCCTGCTATTACTCAAAAATGCCGACCAAAGCATAATATTCCACTCTGGCTGGTCCACTGTTAAAAGTGGTATTAGCCTATTTATGATTCTTGCTCGTTTAATTTTTTTAACTCCGATTGACCTCTCACACGGTTGGTGGCCATATTGGATTTTGCCATATGGCCCCGTGGCCGTGGCGTCCATCTTGGTGCCCGTCAAAAATCAAAATAGGATGTTGTGGATGACATCTGGGCCAAATTTGGTGCTTTTGGAAGAATCTGAACCATGTAAACAGCCCCTGTAATGCCTGCCCTAATCATCCCTATACTACTCATAGTATCATGAACAATAATGTTAATTTACTGAAACATGCATAAACTATACAGCTTAGACAAAGAGTTGCTGTGGATGAAATATTTTATGAGGAAATGCTCTGGGCATTGGACCTAATTATAAGCTGTGATCCCATTGGACTTATTTTCCGCTATCACAGGGAATCTTGCCGCGACATTCCTTCGCATTGTGTGCCATGTGATCCCACTTGGACTTTTTTTAACACCGACGGAACCTTTGACCCAAGGCCCCCCAAAAAAGTCTCTGGTTTCTAGTCTGGAGCTTGCCCCAAAAGTGGTGCGGCGACGCGTTTTTTTTTTTACCCTACTTTTTTTCTCTTCAAATGTCGGCTTATGTTGCAGATGAAGCTTTGATCACCTTAAAACTCTCAAAAATATCTTTCAGAGTGGAGATTGAGGTGACCTCAGTAAGGCCACAATTGGCTTGAGAAGTTGAGAAGTCTGCACTCACTTACGATCTTGACCGACACCATTTTTCGGGAAATTTGGAGTCGTCAAGACAAAAATCCGGGAAAACCATAACGTCAGACCATACAGCGACATCGACATCGTGCATGAGCTGCCAGGCTGGTCATTAGTCTGCTCCCTTACGTATTGCGCTAATTTAAAAGCGTTTACAGGTTCCAGAAACAAGAGAGAGAATGAAAGTCCATTTTTAGGTTCCTGGACTCATCAACTAAAAGTTAGCAATATTTAAAACCAAGAAGAGTGTATCAAGGGCAAGGTTTTGATTTTTTTTTTTAAGGAGGGAAATTGTTGGTAGAACGACAATAAAGACCACAACATGAAAAATAAAGATGGCACTCATCGCGACACACTGTGAATTCACGATGCGTGTTGATTTGCATAACATCAGGTTGTTCAACTGAAAAGTTTGAAAGAAATTTGCAGTTTCTATGGAAAGATTCTGTTTAAAATTGCAAAATTAGGGTCAGCAGAATTAAAAGAAGATTAACTAAGGGCAATTCCACGGTTTGATGGACATGGCTAGGAAAAAAAAGTTTTCTTTTTGAACCCAGTTTCACATTTTTATTACAGAGTATACATTCAAGTACAGGGTGAGTCAAAAAAAGCGGAACCCAAACCCAAAAAATTATATTTCATATTACTGAAATTGGTCAATCCGTTAAAAAAATATCACCATTCAAACACAATGACCCTAAAACCTGTCTCGTCCCAAAAATGCGATTTCAACAATCGTCGACACAATTGTCTTCAAACATCACCAGCGATGAAATCTTAGTTTAAACGTTAACAATATGCAACGAAGTCCTTTTAAAGGCCCGTCTTTTAAAAAAGTAGATTGTATAAATCATATTGTTTGCCTAGTTGTTGTTAATCAAAAAATTGTGTGCTACAGTTGGTGACAGTTGTTGAAACAAGTATTCTGTGTCATTTTCTTTGTTGTTCCAAACAGTCAAAACACACAATAAATTGATTTTTTGGACGAGACAGGTTTTAGGGTCATTGCGTTTAAATGGTCGTATTCTTTGAACGGATTGAGCAATTTCAGTAATTATTTCATCTAAAAGTAGCTTTTGAAATTGGCTTTCCATTCATTATTATTTTTGGTGCTTCATATTTTTTTAAATATGAAATACATTTTTTTGGTGTTTGGGTTCCGCTTTTTTTGACTCACCCTGTATATGAAATTAACAAAGAAAACCCTCTTTTATCAAATTTTGTTTGAGAAATAGTGTCGTAAAGTGAAAAATAAATTTTTACTACGAAGAACTCTCAAAATTTGGTAAAGTTTCAACCTCGATTGCTATAAATGCAATTAAAGATATTTAAATCATAACCTTATTTCTAGCATACATGTATGGTAGTCCTAATGTCATTTTCAGCCGTCATCCATTTTTAAATATCAAAAAGTAGGGTTTCATACCTTTTTTTGGTAAATGTAATGTGAGACAGAAAAGATATTAAAGTTTTTTCTCACCAACATTTCTGATGAATTAAATGTTGGTTTTTAGGATTTTCCTACTTCACATGAACATTGATATAAATGTAAGTGTTTTGTTGATACTAATACGCACATTTTAGATAAAAGGCAACTAAATTTGGTAACGTGAGTAACTTTTGTAACTTGCGTAACCAAAAATGTACTGTGAGCGACCAAGGTTTTTATCCCAAGTCACCCAAACTATACCCAAATTGACTTTTGCTTGATAATGTTGATTTTATTGACAACTGTTTACCTGAACCCAAAGCACCTCAAGCGATAAAGATACTTTTAAGCATACATGTATTTTGTGCAGTTTATGGTGCAAAATGGTCTTTGAGACAGAACTTTTTATATTTGAATCCAGGTCAAGTTTTTATGTTGTTGAGTTTAATAAGGAAAACACATGTACGTCCCTATACATTGAAATTAAAATGTTTATTTGGATCAAAACTAAAATTTGAATTACATGCAGAAACTCCATGCTAAGCCATCCGGTACAATGGCACTGGTATACCCTAGAACCAAACTCTCCACATCATGGTCTCTGATATTGTGGCCTTTCCATGGGCCCTATATTCTGTTCTACCATAATAATCCTTTTCACACTATGAACGTCCGATCCGTGTCGAAATCTACACGGTCGACTTCTAAAAATTTCAACACGGTTCAATTTCGCTACGTTTTCACACTTCTCATCGCAAACCCAGCGTTTTTGCCACACGTGTAATGTTTTCGACCCGTGTATTGTGCGATCGTTTCACACTACACACTACACTAGGGCCGTCCGCCCTACATGTGTTTTGTAGCTCCATGGATGGTCAGCCCAACCAAGGACCCAGACTTCATGTCAGTCTTTTTTTCTGATTTCGGGCCCATTTTATGTTGGAGGATAAAATATTCTGTGACTTGAAATTCAAGCACCATCGAAAGTATTTGCGAAGAACGCACAAAAACCAAGCGCGGTCGGCAGGCGTAGCGTGAATATCAGGTGTTATGAAATACGGATTCAATAAGGTATTGCGCATGCTCATGCATAGATAATTAGGAGAGGGACCGGTCATGTGAAAGGGTTTAACCAATAAAAGGGAAAAGGAGTCAGATTTTCACATGAGTCCGATTTTCATATCACACCGGTGGTGGCATGACAGGGCAGCAGGTCAAAGGTTATTAGTATGTTCGTTGCATGCTAAAAAGTAACAACTACAGCGTGATGCCGCATGCACGCACTCTCGTACTCCGGCCGGTCCGCGTCGGATGAGTCGATATGCGGCTGTACACGGGTCGAACGTAACTCAGAAGTGTTCACACTACGCCTTTCAACACGTGTCGGACTTCTTGACATGGATCGAGAATTCTCAACCCACCTCCTAAGTAGGGTTAGTTTCGACACGGGTCGAGCGCTCTACACGGGTCAGTGCCGTGTTCAAATGTTGTAGTGTGAAAAAGTTAGTCTATTTTACACGTGTCGGACCCGTGTACAACATGGAGATTTTTCGTAGTGTGAAAAGGCCTATAGTGGCATACATAACTCTCAGAACATGACAGGTTTGTATGTATAATATGTTCTGATGGCCAAGCATAATTAGTTAAAAAAAACCTAAATTACAGCTGGACTTAAGAGGAAACAACAAATTGCTGCTAGGGGATCAGTAGGCACTTTAATAGTATCAGAATAATGTCAGATGAAAACTTATCTCGGAGTACTTGCCATTGGAGATCCAAAAAGCAAATTTAAGTCAGGGTTTTTAGTAGTTCTGATGCATACTGTGTAGAAACATAATTATTAACTATGACAATTTAGTAAAAAAAAACCATAATGCCATACAATTCTGAGATGGGTGGACAAAATGTAACGTAAGTAATAGTAACGTGAGTAACCATGTTTTTTGTGGATTGCAAAAAAATGACAGATTCTGGAAGATTAGTTTTACTTTTATTATGTGTGCCTCATGGCATGGTCTTTTATCCAATTAAAAGAAGTTCCACAGGTTGCCTATATCAGGACACTTTTTGGTCATAGCATGTTGGCTTTTTATTTATGCTTGGCCGAAAATGTAACGTGAGTAATCAATTTTGTGTGTCTTGTTTATCATACCTAATACATTTTTCTGGATGTCATATTTGGTGCTTAGGTAGGTCTAGGTGTACTCTTATCTACCATGGGGATAAACAGTTATTAAACCTTTTCAGTAAGGTAATAGTCCCTGGGATAGGGCCATTTAATCGCAAAATTGTATGATTAATCTTAATATTATTTTCTGTTGTAGGGTACCTTGGGACATCCGAAAATGGTGCTCTTAAGTTGCACAGCCGGTATTTTTGCCTTCCAGCTTAAAAAAACTGATATTTGGGAGCTTATTTTTGAGAAAGGGCTAAAATCATATTTTGGCCTCTGCACTCACAAAAATGGCCCGTCGTGACCTGTTTGCACTTTTACCATCCTGATAGGATGGGTAAACAAGAAAAAATATGGTTGGTCCCAAGTTTATCCGTATTCGTGTTCCCAGGGCATATATTGCTTTGCGGACACCCCCCAAATCCTGTGACTTTGCCCTGTTTGGGGACAGAAATGAGTTTGAAACTCACACTTATTCCAAAGATACATACTTTCTTTATAATTTAAAAACTTCCCGAGACCACAAGCTTTAATTTAAGTAGTAGATAAGCTTTCTGTCTCGAAAATTGGGCTGGCCATGGCCATTTTTGCTTCCCCTACCCCTAAATCACTCAAAACGGCTGTATAGTGGGTGGCATATAGCAAACCTATTGTGCATTTTATGATAACAGTGCCAAATTTGGTACAGAGATAGACCAATATCATATCAACAAATGTGGATATTGGAGCATCACAGATCTGGCCCTTGACGGCCGTCGGAGTCATCATTTTAAAAGGGCTGAGTCATGCTGCCAATTTTGATAGGAACCAACTTATCCAATGACATTATGGCGGCCATCTTGGATTTTAAAGATGGCTGCCATTGAAAACCTATTTCAACCCATATCTCATCTTCTAAGCCACTTAGGAGAAAAGTTTGGTGTCTAAACATACATTTTCAGGGTCAAGGAATGCAACTGTACCATTTGGGATAGTATTAAATGGTTTGTTTGTCCAGATACAGTATTGTTGCCATCTCATTTCTGAAGATGGCCGCCGGCATTGAAAACTACATGTATTGCATCTTTAAGCCACTTAACATTGAAATCTTAGTGTCTAAACATATATTTTCAGGGTCAAAGAACGCAACTGAACCATTTGGGTTAGTGCTAAATGGTTAATTTGTCCAGATACATTGCGGTGGCCATCTTGGATTTTAAAGATGGCCGCCATTGAAAACCTATGTCTACCAATATCATTCTTCTAAGCCACTTAGGATTACAATTTTGGCGTCTAATCATACATTTTCAGGGTCAAGGAATGCAACTATACCACTTATGACAGTGTCAAATGGTCAGTTTGTACACTATTGTGCCCATCTTTGATTTTGAAGATGGCCGCCAGATAATAATTGCATTTACTGATATC